TTGGTCTATAGAGACATATGGAGAGAAAATGATAAAGTAAAAGAGATAAAAGTCAAGTAAAGAAAAGACGAAGAGGTTGAGTCATGATTGCTAATGAGAAGAAACAAAATATAAAATAATATGAAGAGTATTGTTGGACTTGTATAAAATGTTATTATCTATAATTTCAAAAATTCTTCAAGATGCTCTTACAAGAAAGATCATTTTTGGAGATGCTCTAGTACAAATGGGAAACAGTTCGAGTCTTGAGGTCCCATTTTCAAAACTCATCCAACACAATTGGATAAATTTACACAATCAGATAAATTTTGATAATTTCCGAACACTCTGTGTTTTTAATAACTGAGTCACTTTTTTACGTAAAATTCATCTGGGTTGTACGGGGTTTGACTGGTTCACAAGCAAACCATTCGAGCTTAGTACCCGAACCGGCTTGACAGTTGGGCTTCCAATTCCCGGGACAGGCTAGTCTAGGTTTTATAACAATGCATCATTTTAGTTATTTCTTCATGACTTCTTATCTACATGTTACTGGTGGCACCTTGCAAGGCTGAAATTTTAACTTTTCCAGAGATAAATATCAACTTCTAATGCACCTTCTTTGTGATACAATCTGATAGCTCAAGTACCCACTTGAATATATTTTGCACATCCCAAAAATGTACAATAATCTCCTCTGATTAATCAGTTTTTTAATAATGCTTTTGATCAACATTATGGGTCATCGAATTCCAAGAGCTCGATCACTTCTTTGGCATAAGTTGTAGCCAAAGAAACAAACTGAAATACACCATGCTGCCACTATCCGCTCTTTGGCATAAGTTGTAGCTCCCCTCAAATTTTCCAATTTCTCTTGAACATTCTTTCATCACTACACAAATTTCTTGACTTTTAACCGTCTTGCTTGTTTTTTTCTTTTTGGGGCCAAAAATTTAGGTGTATCATGAAATTTCTCACTTCAATCAAATATCAGTATCTCCCGATTTGTCATCAATGATACTGATAGACCCACAATAATATCAGAAAGAAGGAAAATGAATTCCAGTCAGCAGAAAGGCAGCCAATGCTGCAGATTAATTCTGTTATCTATTTCAATTAGTTTGTTTGTTATCTTTGGTAGGTGGGTAGTTGAGTCGGTGGGGGAAATGCTAATAAATAGGGATAGGGGTTTGGGGAGTGATTCATTCAGGGAATTGTTCGAGTTTAGTGGGGTCTACCTGGGCCTCTCGAATGCCTTGGATAATTGTTCTGTTAAATTCTCATTTTCATTGAAATAATAATACAAATCTAGTTCTGTCAATTACAGTGATCAGTACACTACATTCACAACACTACAATCCATTTCTATCCTACTAAGACACATATAATTCTTCCTTGTTGGCAAAGCAATTCAGGTTCATCCAATTGTAGCATCTGCTTCACAGAATCACAACAGTAGCAATTCAGTTGAAGGAACCCATCAGATACATTCTAAGATTCAATAGTTCTTTTGAGACTGTCCGAAAGTTGACTTGTGTTTTCAAAAGTACATGAGGCTCAGGCCTTGATGCATTCATTAGGAACCTTAAGAGTTTACCATTTGAGTATCATTTGTCAAAGCTTACACTTTTATTTTTTTACTTGTTCAGACTCGGCTGTTTCATCTTCTAAGCCGATAATGAACCTTGGGCTAACCAAGCTTAAGTCTCCCATTTTAAAACCAAATTATGGAATGAGTTTCCATGGCCAATTGTGTAGTTGGACTTCTTGTTTATCTTCACTTTTCTTTTGATAACTTCGAACTTGTTAACAATGTCAATTCATCTCCTAGCTACTTACATCTGCTCATGTTTCCTCAGGAAAGTGATCCCATGTTAACTGACCGTGTTTGGGAGGCTTTAGTAAAATCTTTTGCAAGTCAAATGAAGTCTGTTTTTACTGCATCAAGCTTTGTCAAGGAGATATTCACTACAGGGTATCCAAAGCTATTGTCTACGATTGAGAACCTCCTTGAAAGGATCTCACGTGATACTGATGTTAAAGGAGTTCCACCAGCTCTCGCTTTGGAAGGAAAGCAACAAATGATAGCTGCCATTGAGATTTTCCAGACAGCGTTTTTGGGGCTCTGCTTGAGTCGACTTTCTGATCTTGTTAATTCTGTATTTAACATGTCAAGCCGTGGAACTGTTCCCTCAAAAGAGCATATCTCAAGAATTATATCACACATTCAGGAAGAAATTGAAGCTGTGCAGCTGGATGCACGTTTGACTCTTCTTGTCTTACGTGAAATCAGCAAAGTTTTGCTTTTGCTTGCAGAAAGAGCTGAATATCAGGTGCTCTTATATTTCACTTTGTAAATTCCTCCTATTTTACCCCTAGAAATCTGTTCCACCCATGTTTTTTTGTGGTTTGTGTTTCTATATTACTTATATTTAAATACTCACGGAGATGGTAAATTAAAAAGATAAGCAAATTAGTTGATTGACCTGGTCCAAACCTATTCATTTTATCTCCTGCTGCAAATACTACTTGGATGCCTTTGAAGAGAATGTTCAGCATGTTGCGTGGCTATTAATCATATGTACCAGCTTTCAGCATCTCATAAACTAATGTATATAAATTTAACATGAAATTAGGAGTGTCAATATGGTTTTATACCTATTTAGTGCTATGTGCCAGACATTTTGGGTAGCTTTATTTCCTTTCAATAACCATGATTGTCCACATATGTTGTGCCAGTTGTGGTATCATCTTATTTGATAAACCATATTTATTCACTGATTAGCTGATACGGAAAAACCTTTAATTCCAAGTCACAAGATAAGAGCCATTATCTTTCTTTGATTATAGATCAAGATGAATACTAGACGTATACAGCTAGTCACCTATTCACATGGAAAGTCTTTTAGAAAACCCATCACCTTGTCTATTCAAATAGCACTGAGGTTATTTGTGAATTATGATTCTCATAGTTTTGGTTTACGTAATGACTGGGAAATAACCTTCTTAAGCAATCGTGTAAATAAATGAATTATCGTGGCTTTAATTTGTAACCCCTCAATGAATGACTTCTACTCTCTATTCAGTTGGAAAAGTACTTTTTTGATCGCAGATATCGACTGGACCTGAAGCACGCCAAATAACTGGTCCTGCGACTCCCTCACAGATCAAGAACTTTACATTAAGTCAGCATCTGCAAGAGATCCATGCACGTGTAACATCAATGATTGCAAGACTGCCTACTGTTGCTTCAGATATTCTATCCCCTGCTCTTGGTACAATATATGGTGTTGCCTGTGATTCTGTGACACCCTTATTTCAAGCGATGCTTGATCATCTTGAGTCCTGCATCTTGCAAATTCATGACCAGAATTTTGGTACTCTCAGCATGGATGCTTCTTTTGACAACAATGCATCACCTTACATGGAAGAATTGCAGAAGAGCATTCTTCATTTTCGGACTGAATTTCTGTCCAGGCTTTTGCCTTCTTCTGGCGCTATCTCCGCTGGAGCAGAAACTATATGCACAAGGCTTGTAAGGAGCATGGCATCTCGGATTTTAATATTTTATATTAGGCACGCTTCACTTGTTAGACCATTATCAGAATCAGGGAAGCTGAGAATGGCTAGGGACATGGCTGAACTTGAATTGGCAGTAGGCCAAAACTTGTTTCCTGTTGAACAACTTGGAGCACCATATCGGGCCCTTCGAGCACTTCGGCCTGTTATTTTCTTGGAAACATCTCAAATGGGAGACTCTCCGCTTCTTCAAGATCTTCCACCTAGTGTCATACTTCATCATCTCTATTCACGGGGCCCCGAAGATTTGCTGTCACCACTGCAAAGGAACAAGCTTACACCTGTCCAATATTCACTGTGGATGGATTCTCAAGGGGAAGATCAAATTTGGAAAGGCATCAAGTCAACTTTGGATGATTATGCTGCAAAGGTAAGGGCCAGAGGAGACAAGGAGTTCAGCCCTGTTTACTCTCTGATGCTGAAACTGGGGTCATCTTTTACAGGGAATGAATCATAACCTTTGTCAATTGACAATTAGTTCAAGCATAACAATCTGTCCATAAGTCTTCTCCTCCTCCAGATTTACCTTCAAAATGTCGTGGTGGTGTTGGTGGTGGTACATTCTCAATCATCTGATTTCTGTCCTTCCTTCTATACCTCATATTATTGCGCGATTTTGTTTGGGAATCATGTTCTTGGTTCTTTCATTTGTAAATCATTATCGATCAAACAAAATGATATGGTAGATTAAGTTTTCTTCAAAATCCATTCATTATTAAATCATGTATAGTAAGAAACTATTATTTTCCCCAATCTAGAGTCAGGATATTGTTTTCTATATCATTGGCGCATTGCAATGGCAATCCAGTATTTGATATGTTAGACATATACAAATGGCAAATGGTCTACTGCAATTGTATGCATTTATTGGACAAGCAATGAACCATAATATTGATCAACTAGGACTTGTGTGAATTTCTTATTCTTTTTCCAGTCCCTCCTTGTTGGGCCCCTAGTTTTGTACTTCTGTTTGAAACTTGTAGAAACCTGACTGAAAGATAACCAGAGAATAACTCCTTGAGGTGATGCTATCCGAGATGGCTACCTAAAATTAAAGAATTGGTCTGCATATTTCCAGGACGTTTTGTTCTTTTACTTCTCTTAATTTTTTTTGTGCTTTCTCTGTCTCTCTATGTGAAAAAGACGAACCAGATAATAGTTGGTTGCGTGCCTTTGCTGTTAATCTAATCTTGTATATAAAAATTAATTATTCGGCCTCGTGTCATTTTCTCCTACGCTCAACTTCATGAACTGAATAAACATCATTTTCAACACATTTCTGTCTCGTGACTCAAGTTAAATATTTCCACCCCCACCTCCATTTTCAACCTCCGAAACTTTCGAATCCTTCTCAATAAAATTCTTCTTAGTATTATCCGAAGGAGGTGGGGGTCGACAAATTCGAGGCCACACTGAAGTCCCTATCTAGTTTTCTAGACAACATGAGGAAGAAACCTAAGTCCACTCCAGTTCCCATGAAAATACCTAAGAAGAACTACAAGAAACAAATCACCAGTACTTTATTAAAGATTTTGCGGCCCAAAGTTTATATTACAGACTGTTCAAATTTCAATACTCTTGTTCAACAACTAACTGGTAATGGAAATTCTACAATAATCCTCTCCTCTCCATCTCCTTGTATATCACAACCTGTAAATATCATTCATGATCATGGATATCAAGAAAACAGTTGGGATTTGTCGGTCGATTCAACGTGTTTCAGTACTCCATTAGAAAGCTCCCCAAATTTACGAATGCTCGAAACATTGGATTGTGTGATGGAGAATACATTGGATATAGAGTCACAGTTGTTGGAGATGGATCCAGTTTTTTATAATTATGATGCATGTCATGTCGTGATTCAACCAGAGGTCCGTGTTTATGATTAAAATTTATTGGCATCATATGATTATATATGAATGTATGTACACGTTTGGTTCAAGAATCACTAGCCAAGGTCTATGTTGTGCATGGTTATGTGGATATATTCTATCACTATTGTAAAAAATAATTATAGGGAATGTATATTGCGTGCTTGTAAGTTATATTGAACTATGTAGGTACATATTTTATATGAAGTACAGTTGACTGTGTAGATATCACGTGTGTGAAGTGAGTAACACTGAGCCAAGAAACCCGACCAACAATTCCCCTATGCGCCAACTAGCGCAAAGTCATTGTTTAAAAGAAGTGTTTTTTTTTTTTTTAATCAAAAAATGATGTTCTTATTGAAGAGACGTACTTAGATTCTTAAGTTTACTGAGAATGTTGTCTCTACAATTCAAGGATATGAATCAACAAATTATGATTGTAATAGAAAACCATTTGAGGTATTCTAATTTAAATAAGAAGTTATTGATCATTACACCTTTTCATTTTTTCCCTCAAACTTTTTATTATATATATATAAGTAAAATAATATCATGCCCAGCAAAGGACTCCATGGCCCAATGGATAAGGCGCTGGTCTACGAAACCAGAGATTCTGGGTTCGATCCCCAGTGGAGTCGTCCATTTACATTTTTATTTTTCTTCTACTAGAAACTCTTTTTTCCCCCAAGGGATGCAATTATGCAAATACGTGCAGAAAGTTAGAGACAAACACGCGAAAACTTAATTCAAAATACACCATATAAAACGAAAAATGTTTTTTTTCGCACATTCTTTCAGTGACTAAAATAATCTCTGTTAGCAAAAAAATTTAGGCAAAGAATAACAACTTGCTATTGACCCTTATTTTCTGTTCCTCGTTGAGTTGGTAGATTATACAAGGACTTAAGTTGCCTACTGATCAACTTGCTATTACTGAGAGCCATTCGCAACTCCAAATCGTCCGACCACCATTGCTCCAAACCATGTGCCTCGACAAACTTCTGTTTTTCTTTTGATGACACGAAAAGCTTTGCACCAAACTGTATATTTGTCGGTTTTACATTTTCCTTGTCAACAGCACTGCTGCCTTGTGATTCTTCCGAGTTAGTATAGTCACAACAAATGTAGTCACTATTATTTACGTACAAATGAGGTATCCATTGCTTTGATCCCAGTGTGATAGATTTCATCGTCCCCTTGTCACTGGTCGGCTGAGTTTCAATTGTCGAAGGAAGCATTGACTTTAACCTCTTCCAAACGACCTCAGCTTTTTCCCCTATGTTTCTTAAACTCATAGCTAATGAAACCGAGGGTGGATTGAACAAATGTGCCTCCACATATATTCCTTGTTGGGCTAATGCTTTTCCAACTTGGAGAGCAAAACCAGCCCCTAAAGAATGTCCTGCAATACATACATTGCTGCTTCCGTACTTGTCAGCAATCAATTTCAATGCCTTGAAAGCGCTACTAAATCTGACTGATCCCTTCAAACTTTCCCAAGTTAGGAAACGGAGATCATCTTCAATATCACGTCTAATTGTGGGGCCTTTAAGAAGTGTCCCTCGAAGTGCTAAAACAGCCTTTGGGGCGCCATTAGGTCGAAGCAGTACAAAGTCAGCCAAAGCTGCAACCCGATCCCATTCGAGTATAGCCCCGAATATTGATCCATCTCTTTCATCAATAAGGGTTTCAGAGAGTTTGTACTTAAAGGGTATCCACCATTTAGGAGCAAGTGTATTTTCATCTCCTCTTCTGTTTTCTTGTCTGTCAAGTTCGAGCAAGTAAACTGCTTGTATAAAACATGCAATTACTGTCCTTTTATAATTACCGTCCTTCCTGTAAATGCAATTTACTCAATTATTGTCTCTTTTTTTTGTACACTAGAAATACAAAATCAAATGCAATAAAAACTACAAAACATCAACCTATAATTTTAAATCGTACATTTAACACTTCCAAGTGCAAAGAGAAGAATTCACTATACGGAATGAAGTTCTTTAACAAGAATTATACAGGAGATGCATAAATTTAACTTGAAGAAACAGTTTTCAGATTGTACTGAGATCTTCTGTATCATAGAAAAACAAATATCATACTTTCAAGAATTTGTTTCGACTATCTTCAGAATTCCACCAATAATATAGATCTGTCAATTCCTATTTGATTACACACATTACCATCATTCTTTTGCAGATCATCAACTACAATCAAATTCAAATGAGGAACACAGAATGCATCTCGATAACTAGAAGAAAAATCCTACAATTCGATTCTAAGGTGGGATTAAAACTATACACACAAAAGATCTTGGGACTCATTTACATAAATTCGATGATAACCCTCATCTTAGATCAACATAAAATCAAGAACTAGTAGAAATATCTAATGATGAAGCAAATAATGGCATAACTTGGGCATATATATAAATACAAACAGAGACGTTAAGAGGAGAAAATGAGAAAGTGGGGAGATGGGCACTGACCAACTGGAGTTGATGAGGTCTTTCCAATTAGGAGAAGAAACATTTCGAGGTCCAGACACATGGAATGCATAAGGATGATGATCTTCAGACTCCAACTCTGTTTTTTCTTTTAGATTCTGATTTTGATTTTGATTTTGATTTTGGTTTTGGTTTTGGTTTTGATCTTCTTCTTTGATTTCCATCGCCTGCAGAACTTCATTATTCAACTCCTCTGCGCCTCTCTTTCCCATTTCTCTCTTTACACATATAACCCTCAACTTCAAAGTGTAAAAGGAAAGAAAGAAAGAAAAAAGGTCTTGAAATGAATGGAAAATGGGGGAGGCTGGATTCAGATTATGCCAACGGATTCTAAGAATTTATTAGAATTTAATGATAGTATCTGACTTTTTTGAAAACATCTGCCTTTTGTTTTCTTTAAATTAAATGGAGAGCAACGGTCACATTTTGATTCAGATCAAGTCTCTGTTCTCCAACGTTAGCCGTACGTTGTTGGGTTAATTTTTGTCTGGGCTACTTGGATATTTATCAAAGTTTGAGAGCCTCAACTATAATTTTCCTTATATAAATTAATAATTCATTTTCTAATAAAGTGATTTGCCCTCGTGGGTGCATCAGGAAGATACTGGACCCACAAGAAATATTTGTGGAGGATCTAATTTCTTGAACTTGAGATTAAATTGAGGTGTCCATTTATCGAATTATTAGTAAGTGAAATGGAAACAACTCTTTCAACTATAGAACTAGAAAAACCCAAGAACACCAAAATAATCCCATGGCCCTGAATTTTGGTACTGTTTCTCTTCACCCAAAAGCTCATTCACTGAAAATTCGAAATAGAAATCATCCCTTTAAGCTCTATGAAACTTTTACTCCATCTCCATCTTCTTCGAAAGCAGCTGCTTTGTCTGAAGGAACTGAGAGTAGAGTCACTGATGAAGAATCCTCTGCTTCCGGTATTTTGTCATTTCTTGATATTGTTTAAATCTTTTTTTTTTTTTTTGGAAGGAAAACCCAGAAAAGTTTGCATAATAACGACTTTAAGAAACTTGGATTGTTAATGTTTAGATGGTTTTTATTGTTTGATTTTCATGATTTTATGCTGTTGATATATGCACTTGAAAGTTGAATCTTGATAAATAACTGTGAGGGGTTCCTAGGATTCACAGTCATCTTAAATCAAACAGAGGTTATGCTCCCCATATTAAGCAATCATAATGGACAATAAACTACCACTTCATAAGCATTTGTAGGTGTTAATGATGAACATGTAATCTTAAGATACACAAGTCCCAAAAATATTACTTCATAATTTTAATTATCATGATGTAACTGTGTTGAGAATCGAATAAATTCTATGATATCTAAGTAGAATAGGATAGTTTTTCATGCTAAGATTTCAACCTGCACAGTAAACAGTATGTTGAAATTTAACCTATGATCTTAAGCTTTTAGACGAGGTGATCATAGGGATCTGTTGCAAGAAATGGTGAAAAGAGAAGGCTCTCATCAAATACTATTCTTTTCAGATGGCATAGTGTTAATAAAAGACTCCATCCTAATGTTAGAATTGCGCTCTAATTCCAATCTATAGAGCAATAATGAATGAAACAAAAATAGAAACACACACATAGAAACACAAAGGTTTAAAGTGGCTTACTATAGTTGAAAAGGAGTATACAATGGAGATCTCACACCCGCTAAGAAAACACGTACCCCGTCCCCATATTCTTTTATATAGTTTAGGAAGCTTGGGCAACCTAATACCGAGTGATAAATGCCCAATACATCTCTTTAAGTGATTTTTATCTAGACTCCACACAGTCGAACACCTAAATTTTAAATGATTTGTGGGTTATGAGGATTCCAAATCACGTTCCTTGTCATGAAGTTCAACAGTAACCAAGAAAAAGGGAGATAGAAGTAAATTTTGACGACGATATATAATTATCACTTAGCACTATAGAGGACATAAATGCTGTTTGGGCATAAGATTATATGTCTAAATGTTAAAAATGGAGTTGAAAACGCACAAATATCAGAGATTGCTGTTTTAATTTATGGCTGTATGATTGAAGATATCTACATGCTTCCTTTGGAACAAATCAAACCAATAAAAGCAGTATTATCAGTTCTTCTCAAGATCTCCTGTATTCCTTCCCTTTCTTATAGCGACTTAATTTGATTTATCTGAGTAATGTCTTTCTAAAACCCTTTCAATTTAAGGATCTTCATCTTCTGCTCGAGTGCAACTGGATCTTTTGGAGCAACTCACTTCTGGCAGCTCCTCTGTTAATGGTATTGCCCAGTTTTGATTATAGCATATCAAATTTAGGTTTCCCTTTTTTTTCCTTCTTCCCATGAGGAAGATATTCTACTTCTATTCCTTCAATAGATAATTTTGGGTTATTATTCAACAGGTTATCAGAGTGATGGTATCTCTGATAGACTGACTATACGTGATCAACTTGCCAAATTGGTTGGAGATCGTGATGACGATTTCAGCATTCCACTGGGTAAAAATCTGAAGAAGTTTAGTGATAAATTCTTAACTATTTCACAGAGGAGAAATATCAAAAGACAAGCTTACATGAATGAAGTGTCTCAAAGGAATGATTCAGTTTTCTTTGCCACTATCGGAGCATTTGTCCTTTTTCCACCTCTCGTCATTTTAGGAATTGCTATTGCAACTGGTTATGTGCAGCTATTTCCTTGAGATAAACTCTGTACATATTGTAGAGAAAACACAGCTCCTTGTATTGATATAATCAGATTAGTCTTAACATTCAAAGGGCACATTTTTGGTCTATATACAGATCCGTTATGACCTATGCATGTGGCCAATAATTTTGGGTCCATTAATAGTTTGATATTACGAAATTTTCTTAAAAATTTATTTTTTAATTCTTCATCTTTTATGCTATGAAGATGAGAGAATTTCGAGATGTTGCAGAACTGTTTATGGCGGAATCATCTCCTTTTTGGTCAATTATGTGACGGCATGCATTATGACTCTATGGTCATATTCACTATTTCGTTGATGTATCCCTGAAATTTGTAGACACTGCTTACTTTATGTACGTCGAATTTAAAGGTTTGTTTCTTATGCACATCACAAAGTGAAATTTGATTGTGTCAAGGAGTAACTCTGTAATGAACACTGATTTCAGTCATTTGTACTCCAATGTGAGTTTACATGTCCATATATATATATATATATACTCTTTATTCTGCAAATTTACTCTCTCAGAATCAAGTAGTTATTATTTATTCATATTGCCTAAGAATTATGCAGAGATTCTGATTTCTTGTACTTGAGTTTAAGAGGGTAAAGAATGAGAAAGGTGAATTTGTAGCTGATTTATCCATATTGTTGATTATAAATTCATTATATCTCTTCCTTTCTAATCTTTAGATTGGAGCGGCATATCTAATTCTAGATGTTTGGCAGAGCTAAGGGGGGTTCCTCTGTCTTTATTCCCAACTTCGCCCATGTTAATGAGGCCTTACTAATTGAATGAGGATATTGAAGCCTCGATACCATTGAATACTCGATCCTAGCCAATAGAAAAAAAAATGAAGAAGAAAAGAAAACCCGGAGCTGATATTAGTTAGAAGTACACTAAATTTCTGGCATTTAGGTGTGAAAGCACAAATCAATGCAGATATGTGAAAAAGTCATCGGCATCTGAATTCTCAACTGGGCTGAGGTGGAGTTTCCTTCAGGTTGAATCTTGGAGACATTTCTTGATCAGTAGGCTGAACTGCTTCATTGCATAAACTGACTCCTTGCTTCTTTATGTAGTGCCATTTTTCTTGGAGAAGGTAGAAGAAGATTATAAGAGAGATCTGAACAGTGAATACTATGGTCCAAACCCTTTCACTTTTTGATGTTTTTCTATGATAGGATTGTAAACCTGTGTACACATTGACTACTCCCAATATAGAAGCAGTAATCCCCAGTAGCCAGTGAAAGATAAACCAAATACTTCTCCCTTTTCTTCCCCTGCAAACAAAGAACAGGCAATGTTGAAGGCGAACTTTAAATAAATAAATTTCTCCCCTCTTTAGTTTGATCATATGTTAGTTTTTGATGAAGAAATGAATCCTTTACCTGTTTGGTCGTAAGATGCCAATCAATGCTTGGAACCATATGACACCATAAAGGGCTAAGCCTATCCTCTGGTGATAATTATTGAAAGAGTTGTCGAAGTATCTTATTGACAGTACTGCACCTGCTGTTGCAAGGAGGACTGAAAGAGACTGCAGAAGGTCACAGTGAATAGATAACAGGTGTTAACAATTTAGTAAGATTAATGAAGAAAAAGAAGTTAAAATCTTGTATGCAATCCTGTGCTGCGTCGTTGCCTACTGCAAAATCCAAACACGGCCTAAAAGAAAAGAAGAGGCATTACATGATGATAATAACCATTCTTATACATTGCTTTGGTAATAAAAGCTATTTAGTCATCAATAACTTGTTATAATATCCATCTAATAAACCAAGTTCCAAGCTATAATGAAATCTTTGTGACACTGTAGGGACTGTTTATCGTGCAAAGATACAGAAGAACATAATCAGAAATTTAAGGAAGCAATTTTCTTTTTCTTTTTAATTGAAATGGGGTGTTAGTTGAAGAACTTGCCTGTATAATAGCATGAATGTAGAATATGATTCTTTTCCTTCCAAAACCCTCTCTGTTTGACATCCTCATTAGAAGTATACCAACTGGCATTAAGAAACCAACAGAAGCCCAGAGGAGGAATCCATGGAGTTTAATCTCAAATAACAATCCGGAGGTTATCTGAAATTTAAGACACAATCAGTCGATCAATTCATCAAGATCTGGCATTAAAACATAGATACAATGGCTAAATTTATGCATCATAACATAGGGATTTATATAGTTTTTACATGTTTTGTACGTCAGATTGGATAGTACTAACAATTATAGAAGTTAAAATCTTCTCATTTATGTTGTGCGGTGTTCTCCAACTCTCCAATACTATATACCTTGTGTGAACAAATGCTGCCATAAAAGTGAATTACCTCATGATTTTTGTGTGTGTATCTTGGATGGATAGTATCGGTTTTTCCATGTTCTTGAGATGACCCGACTAAAAGCAGAAGATTTAGGACAACAAAACCAGTTGGCATGGCAAAACCCACCAGTTTCTTCGTTGGTTGCATGTTTCAATCTTAATACCTTTCTTCCTCCTCTTAACACAAATAAGAACAAGAAGAACCAGCTGCAAAAGTACTTATTTTGCTCTTTTCTGTTGAATTAAATGGAAAATGTAAGTTGGCTCAACCTCAACACATTGTTTCTTTCCACAGAAATCCCTTCTCTCTTATCTTTTAATCCTAATATGATCCAACAGATATTCATCATAACTTGCTTAAAAGAAAAGTTGCATTTCTACTTTTTTCCCTAAGCGGCATCTTATTTCTTTTAAAGCCAAAGTAGAATGATTTGATTAATATTTCATTCGTTTTGATGGCTTTGGTTTCAACAGAGTGGGATAAGGGTAGGGGTCCATTGACAGGCTTTTGGTTTTGATGGAGAGCATGTAGAATTTCAGTGTACAAGGATAAACAGAGTGTAATGGAGAAATGGAGAAATTCTATTAAGTAATTCATGGTGGTCTGTTGGAGTTTATACTTTAACATTATCTTCTCAACTGTTAGACCACTATATAGCGTGGACAAAAAAGTACTTTATTTTCAACAAAATGTACCGTTTCGATTCATTATTTTATTTTCCTCTTTAGTTGCTTTGCAAGACGTGAAGCCAATAGTATTTCTTTTACATTTGGTTTCAAACAAAATAAACGACGATAAAATTTTATAATAAATATATTTATCTCTTTCTTTTCATTTGCATAAACTTAAAATCTAATAGTTCAAGATGTATGATTGTATTTAAAGATCTTGAGTTCAAGTTTTACAGCTTGTTTATGAAAAATCTAGAGATGATTGAATAAAAGCTATAAATGGCCCCCTCCATCATCAAACATTGCAGTTGAGCCTCATATGTCGTCATGATTACTTGGATCCTACATGCTTGATTGATAATTATATATAATGAAAAGCTCGCAAATAATTTTCTCTTGCGTGGGTCGAAACTTTTTCCCTAGAAAAATGTTGATAATCTTTTGAAGCAATGTGGTATTCAATTTAGAATGTTGGATCAACTCGATTTGTTGAAGTGTTTCAAAATGTGTAAACTACCGCGATCTTTTTTAATTTGTTAGAAAACTTGTTGAATTCACAACCAAAAGATAACAACGAGTAATAAGACATATTACGATGTTACTTTCTCTAAAACGCTATTCGTCCCTTCTAATGAATGTACAATTTGCGATTGTGCAATTCGCTTCTCAAGATAGAATGAAACTGAACTTCTTGTTGTTTACATAGTCTTCCACTAACAAATTAAAATGAAGAATTTAAGTCTTTTACGAAATAAAAATACTTAAGACTTATTTGAGTTTATTCGAATTTTGAAATGTCACAATCTTCCTAAATACATTTTCCCAAACATTACTCTTCTCAAAAATTATAATCGTGTCTCCTCAAACACAGACAACATTTCTCAATTTACCAGTGGAAAAGCAATCTTTTTATTAACTCATAATAGTCCTACTTATTCCTGCATAATTTCAGTACCATAAACCTTAATATAAAATCAGCCCAGAGAATTACAAGAAGAACAAAGACAGTAGCAGCTTCCAACAAATTATATGATTCTGGGCTCACTTTGAAGGTGCATAGGGCGAATCTTCATATTTTCCTTCCCACCTGCAATTCAATTTGGTTGGAAGAATGGGAATATCAGTTACCTTGCAGTGAATGTATTCTAATGCAAGAATATTATGGAAAAATTACAAGCATGCACCTCGAAGGGAGGCATACTAACCTAGAATCTTCTCTTATAGGAATCTTGAGCTCCCAATCCTCTTCGAATGGCTGGAATACGAGGTTCAATTTCTCGGCTTCCACTTTCTCCAGAGTAGAGGGTTCCCACTGTAGTAAAGTCGAAGGAAAGGGAGGAGAAAGAAAATAAGATCGTTATCATATGGAAATTTGAGTTGTGCTGTTGATAGTAGTTTTGGTTCTTTTTTTTTTTTTTTAGAAAGATGAAAATGGCCCATTTAGAGAGAGAATAAGAACACCCTGAAATTGAACTGTGCTTCCCAATTGGAAAAAAGGTAAATTTGTTTCTATATTACCTCATAGACATCACCAGATATTACGGTCCGAAGAATATTCATTGTGAGCCTAAACTCTTTCTTTAGGCATTCCGACAGTGTTTGTTTCCTTGCTTCACGAATCTGGAAGTATTTAAAAAGCAACATTGGGGACAAGAGTCAGGGAAAA